CCGATTTCGGCGCTATAACGAAGCTGGCACTGCATCGAATTAACCCGTTTTTACTGGGGGGAGATCACGGGGAGATATGTCCACAGGAAGAGGCCACGATAAGCGAGGGGGGCGCTTTCCCGAGGGGCGGTACAACGAAGGTTCCTCTTATCTTGCAAATCGTGTTACACTTTTTGCTAACGACGGTGAATCCGACAGTGCTTTTGTACATGCACAAAACAAAGATTTTCGTAGAATTTGCCCTAAAACAAAAAAAAGGGAGGCTTACCGCTCGGAACCCACAATTACGCACGACATGCACGCGCCGATCTCGCTTGAAGTCCTAGACCGCACCTCGACGAGCGAAGGAAACCGAACCCGTGGAGATGCTCCACGAGCGAGACGAGCGAGACGCACACGGACGGAGCACGTGGACGCGTGGGAGCCACACTCACGGAGGAATGAAAGCGCCTCCGTCTGCTTCCGCCGACAGATGGTTGCGAGAGCTTTCACTCCGAACGAGGGCTCCGAGGAGATGAATCGGGAAGGAGGCGAATCGGGATTGCCCCATTGTGCTGCGCCGGCACGCTCCAATTCTCCTTCGCGTTCCAGGAGGAAAAGAACCTCTGCCTTTTCCTCTCGTTCCGTGCGAAATCGGGTCGGGCGAACGGAAGGGGCAGCAGGCGGGGAGAAGAGAGAAGGAAAGGGAGAAAAAAAGAAAAGGTCTCTTTTATGATGCGTGAAAGTCAGACGGATGGAAAGGCCCCATTAACGAATGGTACGTGAGACGAAAACCACCACAGAATCACAAACCCTTCTACGAATGCAGAGATCTTTCATTCCGGTTCGTAATTTGGATGCACGAACTCACTGTAAAATCATCACAGGCGTTCCCGAGCTGCTAGACAGATGAGAATTTAATAACATGCAAATATACACACCCGCATGCACTCGCGTGAGACGCGGACGGCATTCGGAAATTCGGGAGAGAGGACACCGGTGGAAGACGGGAAGCAGACGACGCGGATGACGTCACCCGAGCCGCTCGCGATGCCTCCACGGCGCAGGGACGAAGTAGCGATCCCGCTCGGAGAACTCCACGTTCACGGGACTGTGTCCGTTGTGATGCACGGTCTTGGCCTGAGGGCGACCGCTCGGGAAGAAACTTCTGAGTCGAGAGAGGATTTCCCTTTCCACCGACGGTAGGTCTTCTTCGAGATCCGGGACGATGCGGGACTCGCTCGCTTGGGGTTCCAAGTCGCGGTCGGGGCCTATGGGGTCCGTCTCCGCCCGTTCCGTTTTTTCCGAAAGCGTCGAGGGGTCGGGCTCGGTGTGGGTCATGTATGGGTCTGGTTTCTGGCGATCCTCGTCTTTGGAACCCGTAGCCTCTTCGGAGTTTTTCGATAAGGTCGGATCCTTGCAAGTAACCGACTCCGGTGAGGTCGCGGGAGGATTAGTGGGTATCGTGGCAGACGGGAACGTGTTTCCAGGAACCTCTCTCGTCTCGTTGCCGCTCCGGATGTCAGTCGTTCCATCGGTACCGTTTCCCGAACTCTGGGGATTTTTGTCCATCGGAAAGTCTTCCAAACGAGTATGTCCAGGGTTCGGATCGACGGGGAGCATTTCGTGACCGGGATCGACGGGAAGTATTCCTTGATCGGGATCGACGGGCAGCATTTCGTGACCGGGATCGACGGGTAGCATTTCGTGACCGGGATCGACGGGTAATATTTCTTGACTGGGATCGACGGGTAGTATTCCTTGACCGGGATCGACGTCCCCTGCCGTCTCGTTTCGAAGGAACTCTTCCGGATTCAGATTAAGGAGCGGGACCTCCCCCACGTCTCCGGGACGGTCACCCCCGATTTCTTCCTTCGGCGGTTGACCGGGAAAATCCAGAGGAGAGTCCGAACCAAGATCCGGCACGCGTTTTCGACCGGGAAACACCGGATGCGACCTCGAATACCTCTCCGTACCCGGCTGCCCCGCCGCAACCGATGCCGGCATTCGCAGCCTCGCCAAGAATCCCCGCTCCTCCATCGCCTCCCCCTCCACTCGGGTCACTCCTTCCACTCCTTCCACTCCTCCTTCCTCGTCGCGGTCTCCCTCCCACTGCAGTCCCGCGTAGACGACGACGGAGAGCAGGACGGACACTCCCACGATGCAAGCGAGGACCCTGAGCGCCTTCACCTCTCGACTCTCCGGGTTCCATCCCCGAAACCGGTAATCCACACGCTCCATCGCGGGACGGAAACGGACTCGTCCTCGAACGGACCTTGAAACGCGACGACTCCCCGTGCACACCGATCGTCCCCCACGTTTCCGGACGATCTACGCAGGTGGAGCGATTTCCCTTTCACCACTTCCCCCGTTTCCCCCATCAGATACCATCGCCGGCCTTTGTTTACCCGTGGAATGAAAAAAAAAAATCCCACCCTTATTACTGCCCTCGTTTCGATGATACATAAAGAGCAAAAAAATCAAACGAAAGTGAAGCGTCACTCGATGCAGCGAGATGAAATTTACCCCTTTACAGCGTAATGGGATATTATTACCTTCCCTCGTGCGCAATAGCTTTCAGAGAGCCATCCCAAAGGCTGTCCCGATTTTTGTATTTAGGGAATCTTTTCTTGTCAAAATTTGTTTTCAATTGTTTAAATTCAAATTGAAATTCAATTAGCAAGTCTTTTGCTCTATGGAGGGTTAAATGGCCCGAGCACGACGGAACAGGGGTGAATTCCCCCAAGACGAGGTCGGAATCGATGTTGGACCGATATCGGTCCAACATCGGACCGACACCGGTTAAATACGCCGTGCTTCGGTGTCGTGTCGTGGGAACGGGTCTTCCACCGAGCACCTTTGATCATACGGATTCGGTACTTTCGACGCTGAGGTAACTACACTCATCTTTTGGATCGGGGTAAAACTGAATACGTAGTATAACTCAACTCATCCATCCGATCTGGATGAGTCATACTACTCATCCGTCCGATGAGTAGTATGATTCATCCATCCGATCCCGATAAAATTCAAAGAAAAAGGATACATGCTGTTCACTTCCCGCATCCCTCCGAAGAATGAAGATGGCTTTCTGCACGTTCCGAACGCGCCGCGTTAGTTTCCGGTCGAATCAATCTCGGTACGTGTCTCAGATTCGCAGTATCCTCTGCTCTCCTCCCGGTGAGAATGCCCCGAACCAGACCACGGGAACTAACTATAATCCCACGGTCCGCAGTGAATCGATATCGTGACTGAGGCGTGAACCCATCGAATCTCATTCCTTAATGACGTGGAATAATTTTTCCCCGATTCGCGCCCCGCAACTCCCAACGACGAGGTCGTAAAAATTAATGAAGAAAATCATGACGAAGCGACTTCGGTCGTGCCACTCGGACTCGACCGCCGTTCGGCATCCGGCGAAACGCGGCCCCTTTCTTCGCCGTCTATCCACTCTCGAGGATCGGTCCGAAAAGAAATCGGCATCGCGAGACTCGGAGTTCGTCCTTTCGATGTGGATATCCGACGCACTCGGAAACGAAACGAATTCGGAGTCCATCCTCCGGCAGGTCGTCAGAAAATCGCCGGACTCCGAGCGAAACGTAGCGACCGATGGGGTCGCTTCGAGTCCAAGAATCGCTACAAGTTCTAAAATCGCTTGGGGACGACCGATGACCTTCACGGCCTCCAAGCGATTCCAGAGCTCATTTGCATCGGACTGCCCTAATTCCCTGCCCATGCGTGACCACTGGGACGCAAGGCAGATCAGATCGGTACTTCTAGCCCCATTCATATCCACGCGGATTGACTTTTTTTTCCAGCTATCTTTTGAATGGAACGGGGAAGAGAGAAGCGAAATCGGCACGGTCACACCCCAACACCTCCCACCTCGCACCGATGCAAAGAAACGAGTTCACACGGTGAAATGACAGCCGGCGCAGGTGTTGCACGGATGCGAACGCGGTCCATCGATCTCGCATGGAATCTCCCGACACGTGGCTCTCACCGATACTCAGCGTTTTTTTTTTTTTTTTTAAATCTGGGTCACTGGGGAATCGGGAAACCGCAATCAATCTCTATTCACTCGCTGTCTTCTCCGAGCTTCTTTTTTTTTTTAATTTACGGATCTCTTCCCAACAGCAGATGGAATTCCACCGGAGAAATAGCCCGATCAGCAGCCCATTCAATTTTGACAGATTTGAAAGTCAATGCTAAAAGGCTCGTCAATGTGCCTCTTGAAATACATTTAAACATGAGTTCATTTTCAACCCACTTTCGCTTTTACGGGTACAACTATTCTTTTTCTCATCGGGTTTTCTCGATCACTTACTCGATTTCTCTCGTTTTGCGGCGACTGGAAATTGGGTATTGCGAGTCGATGGCTCCGCGGAAACGAGGTCGAGAACCCAAATATTTGAGAATCCCCGAGATTCCACCCGATGACGCGGCGATGTTAAATACAGCTGGATTCGCGCGTGGCTGCCCTCCGGCCGTCATCTGTTTTCTTTCACGAGATGCGATGATGAGTCGAGCCGTCACCGACTTTCACCATCCTTACGTTTCATCGCAAAAGTATATCTTCTGTTCGAACGGCGAATGCGAGTCGAAAGCACCGAGAATCGTACGATGGTATGTATTACGTATGCGATACATTCGTCCCCACGTCGCGGCGCAGACTGGCGTGCATGCGTCTCCCTCGTTCCTTTCGCCCGTGGACTTTCCGGGTCGACTACCCGTCCCTCTTCGCGACGGGATGGGGGGAGGTGGCTTTCGATTCTCGGACGGGCGGACACTGACCGAGGTAAACACTCGAGATACCCCGGGCGACGGATATCGACGACAGTGGTGCCGACTGCCATCCTCAAAATCCTCGATTCCGCGTATACTGGATTACATCATCGGTGTCGAGGAGTATCGAGACACTCCCCGACCCAAGACCGATGACATTTTCGCGTGCATCGAGATGGAGACCATGAATATTTTAAGAACGAGATAAAAAAATTAAAAGGAAAAGATAGAGAGGGAGCTGCAACATCTTCGTTTCATCGTCGACATCGTGACAAACTTCAGACAGACAGGAATGATGAGCAGGTACAAGAGATACAGCTATCACAAGGATTATAGTAAAAAGTGCATCACAGGCAACTGGACGGATGGAATGCAAGAAATGGCACAACGACGAAAAATAAAAATGAAAAGAAGCAACAAAAAAAGGAAACTGAGATCAACTGAGGAGGAGCAGAAATTCTCAACGTCGAAGGGCATCTCGGGACTTCTCCAGGATCTCTTTGCGGATCTTGGGGTAATCAGGATGCTTGCCCAAGACGGCGCGGCTCACATCGATCGCATCCACGTAACGTTTCGCCTTCATGTAGTTGAAAGCCAGTTTGTAACCTGGAACGTATTGCACTCATCAACCTTGTAGTTCCATCCATGCTGTGTCATAGAATAATCTGTTTGGGTGGGTAATACCATGTTCAGAACTGATGGGAACAAGGCTAAGTCCCACCCGCATTGTTATGGTATTTGTCTTTCTTGTTACTCTGGCACCTGCCTTAAGGGCCACGAACATAGCTCTAGTCCAGGCCTTCTACTCAGGTGCAAAAAGGTAGACACATGGAGGAGGGGCACAAAAGACAGAAGCTGAATGGAATGATGACAGATTCCATGGCAGTGAAGAAATAACTTTTTGGGGGAGAGATATGCTTCCAGGAAAGGAAAAGAACATACCAATGACAGGGTTGGCCTGGGTGGAATACTTCCATGCTTGTTCATAGTGATAGGCTGCATCCCGGTAGGACTGCTCCTTTTCCATGATGTAGCCCATGTATTCATATGCCTTTGTGGAGGACTTGTTATGTTCCAACACCCTCTGCATTAAAATAAAATAGCTAAAATCCACTTATGTCAAAAGCACTTGGGAACTGTTCAAACTTAGGATTCATGAGCAAACCAAAGTCTCATTCTCAGTGAAAAATGAATGGCAGCATTTCTTCAATCAAGTAGGGTAATGATATTGTTTTTGTTGGGTTATATGGGCCATTCATTTTCCAATGGTGATTTTGGCTCACTTTCAGACCTTGAAAATTGCAGCAACTCCTACCAATGCTTGATGAGCTATCAGTTTTAAAGCATTACCCTATTATTGAAACTTTGCCATCTCATAACTCTTGAGGCTTCACAACCTGCAGTGCATTACAGGCATGGTAGATTTCAATGATACCAACCCCTCTTTTTTGAGGGGTGGGAGTGAGAGGGCAAGGGAGAAAGAGTGGACAGTGACATCTTTTTGTCATCCCCACCCCTCCTCCCATCCCAGTCAAGTGGGAAAGGGGGAAGGTGATGGTTTAGACCAGGAGTGCTCAAAGTATGGCCCACAGGTTGCATGTAGCATACAAAGTACATTAGTGAATATCCACTTTGTGCACCCCTGGTTTAGACACACCTGAGCCTGAGAACCACATAAAATACCTTTTATTCTTTTGGTACTGTCATTTCTTTTGATACTGGTATTGCATTGGCTAAGCATCAGAATCAGAACCAAGGGGCAAAACTACCATGGTATTTTGGTTTTATTGAAATACCACATTGCCCTGCTGGATTCTTAAAAAGGTCAAATTTCATCACTCAACTTCTAATAATTTCAAAGAAAGTCAGATAGTCAGGTCAAGATAGATAAAAGTCATGAGTGTTCCTCTTACTCTGAGAATCTCAGTGGCCATGTCATACTTCCCATTCTGGACATAGATGTCAGCTAGAAGGAGCCAGGCCTTCTCCAGGTATTCTGCATCCTCAAATGACCATGGGTTCTTGCTCACACGCTTCAACTGATTCCTTGCTTTTGGGGTCTGTCACAATGAAGTAAATATTGTTATATGTACCTCTTTCCATCAAAGGGATGCATTCATTTAGACTATATTGCATACGACTTACTAGCTTGAGGAGCATGTAGGCAGTGGCAACTCCAAGGATGGCACCAACATGCTCCTTGTAGGCCTCATCCTGGGCAATGCGCAGACAGTCCTGCAGAGCCTTCTCAATATTGGCCTTATTTTTAGTGGCCATGAGAGCAAAGTTTTCCAATAATGTCTTCTCCACTGCCTCCAAGTTCCCCTTAGGCAACAGTTCCTGCACCAAAGTTGACAAGACTCAGTTGGATCACAGCTTGAGATGGAAATAATTCTCACATTTATGACCACTTGTTCTTTCCTTCAATCATGTCCTACCAAAGACAGTTTATACTTCTGCTTTAATGGACCCTTCAGTTTTGCCTTGAAGGATAAAGAGAAATACCATGAAGTTTGAGCTTCCCTCTCTGCTCACCAATGAATGTACAAGTAGGACCTTACTCTGATTTGCTTGATATAGGCATATTCTTCCATTCATCTTTTTTTCCCACCATTTATGATACAAGATTGAAAATCTCATCCAAACAACGCAGAGGCATCAAGTAACGTATTCACACCAGCAGATGAATATCAGCAGACATAAGCAAAACAGCAAGAAGCACTACACAGTTTCATCACTAAGCAGGTTCTAGAAAGCAATTTCATGCCTACTTAGAATCAGCTGAACATTGAAAAAAAAAACAAAATAAAAACAAGTTAGACTGGTTCAATCCAAAAATCCTGTTTTAAAATTCCAGTTTCAGAAATTGTTTGAAACAGGATAATAGTGACATCAGCATACACTGAAGGTGGTCTTCAGCAGGACATAGCCCAGTCTAGTAATGATGTGCTTGAGCAAGCCATCACAGATGACAATGGAGGAAGAACAAGTTGGATGTGATTAGTAAAAGGAGAAAGGAGGGGCAAAAAAATACACAATGCTGGTTGGAACAAAGGAGTCACCATCTACCCAGTCTATCACATATATCTGTGATAATTTCCAAAAATTTTTTTCAAAGTTGGTCTGACATTAAATTTTTCCAAAAAACACATAGAAGTCAAGAGCATTGCATTAATTAGTTACTGTAAAAATTGGGTGAAATCTGAAGTAGTAGTATTCCCACAAAAGTTGATGAGTGCTTAGTGTTGACTCAAACTGACCTGACTGATTTCTGACCTCTTGTTATTATGCCAAAAGAAGTAAGCAAGGAGAGATGAGATTAAATTTGGGAAGGACAGTAAAAAAAATACATGCAGTAACTTACTCGAAGGAGCTTCTCGGCTGTAAGCAGGGCCATTTCCCTTGCATCACGAGCATCTGATTGGGACAAATTTCCATCCACAGACTCAAAAGTTTCTCCACCAATAGTGTCATTATCTGGATTGAGGCATATCTCAATCATATTGCGAATGGCCCTCTGGCTCCAGACATTGTCTCGACGTGCCTTGTTGAATGACTTCAGGGCCCCCTCAGGGTTTCCTGTGTACCTAAGAAATCCATACATCAAGTTAACTTTTATCCCAAAATCTAGAATCATTTTTGCAAAAGATGTACAAACCATTCATGGAGGCCAATGCAGAAATGATAGCCAGCATCAAGTGCAGATCGAGAAGAGGCTTTTTCAGCCTTAATGAGGAAAGGGGTGCAATCATCAAGATTTCCTGTTCGTCGCATCAGCTCTACAAGACGTGCCAGTGCCTCATAATTGTTTGGCTTTTTTTCTGCAATGAATGATAAGGTCATGAGTCTGCTTATCCCACGAGTGAGAGGTATTCCCTTTTCTCATCTTTTTTGTTGTTCCTCAACTCACCAAGGATCTGCTGAAAGTGAAACATGGCTGTTTCATAATCATTCTTTCGGAATGCCAGGTCAGCCATCATGACAGTGGCGGACTCATTCTCCTTGTCCTGTCGAAGGAGGGTCATACAGGTCAACTGACACTGATCCAGATCTCCAACAGTCATGTAGAGACGGGCCAGGGCAAGAAGAGAGACAGCATCATCTGGGGAAGCACTAAGTGCTTCCTTGTACATCCGGATTGCCTTATCATGTTGCCGCTCTGACACTGCATGCTCTGCCATCTGACGACAGATGCTGAAAATCATGTAAGCAGTTTATATTTCAAGTTGTGAAACTCCATAATTTTCAAGATATTATTTGGCACACTGAGAAAAAGGCAACAATAGCAATTCTTAGTTACTTTGTTACTGAGAGCAAAGACAGTTAAGGTTTGTCATTCTGATTGATCAAGACATATTGTTGAGCCATTTCATTAGGCCAGTACTTTAGGGGAATTAGTGGGATTGAATGTAATAAAGAAAGCTTTTGTCAACTTGTCTCTTTTATTTTTTTCCCCCCTGCTTTACCTGGCAGCAAGTTGTTTCTGTTCATTGGCAGCATCAGGCTGCTCAACCTGTGCCCGCTGCAGCACCCGAGACTGGATGTCCCTGGCACTGTTAAGAGAAGACAAGGCTGACTCAAGCATGCCTGCTTTCTCCTGCACCTGCAATAAATAAGACATTAACCTTGAAGAATCATAAGAGAGGAGGGTGACAAGGAGCAAGGGCTCATTTGACAGAAGCAGACCTTGGCAAGGAGAGCAAGCAGCTTGGCTTGCATGGTAAGAGAGTTGATTTCATTACTGGATCCCTCCACTTCTAGGGCCTTTACCAGAGTCTTCTCTGCCTTCTCATATTGTCTCAATTTCATCTGCAACTCAGCAAGGTCATGTCTAAGGGACACCACAGATGAGTGGTACTGTGATGAGTGATTGTACATAGTATGGTGTACTGCATGGGCATATGATACTTACTTAGCATGCTATTTGCAAAAAGCAGATTGCCAAGTCCAGTAGGAGGCTCATTAATATATTAATTATTTAACCCATTCACTGCTATGACTAAATATATACAGAGTGTTTCATAGGCAGATTTCCAAATTTACCTTTATTTCATTAAATGTTCTAATTGCATGCCATGAACTTGCATACACATATCAATCCTGGCAGATAACCCCCTCTGAATATTTCTTAGTACTTCTGTACTAATTATGGTGCACTCATTCATTGAGAAATTTAATTAATTCAAAATAACCATGAGTACAGACTTTTGAAACACCCTGTACATCTGCCACTTCAAGTTTACCATTCTTAGTCCAAAGAGCAGTGAATCTAGTGAATCTAGGCTATTAGATGCTCATCTGACATCTATGCATTACCTTCACTACTAAGGTGACTGCATAATTCCAATTAATACCATCTTTAATAAAACTGATAAAAGCCTGAAATATACTAGCATAGGGGGGAATGCCTCAAAATAAAACTCGGCAGGTATAACGTTAATGAAGGCAATATTGTATTCAACCCATGCTCTCAGGTTGACTGACTGTAGAGATAGCAATGACACACTTGAGAAAACTGACATCTGACTCTCTTCATCTGGAAGGCATGTGCAGTTGGGCTAAATGTTTAAAGATTAAAATCATTCCAAATGGACCATTAATATCAATATGGTCAGCCAACTTCAGGACATGGATTGAACACTGCTTCACCTTCACCAAACACTGCATATCTCAATCCTTTGTTTCATTGCATCCACATCAATTGACGTGTCTTCTAATGACATATCAGATCACAAGACACTGGGTATGGTATGCTGTCTATGATTTTCCTTTAAAAGTTTTGATACCCACAAACATGGACATTCTGTACTATTGGAAGCTGCTCTGGAATTGGGGTTATGAAATAATTTTCAAAAAGTTTATACAAATGTTAATGTAATGCAACAGTAGATTAATGGGCTTCAAATGAGATACATCAATCTGGTTTTTGCAATCAACATTTTGAACAAGTTAACAAAATCACTACGGTGGCTGCCAAGTGCATCACCAATGATACTTTTTTCCATGTTAAAAATTCTGTTTGGCAGCCAACATGTTAAGGTGTTTCTGATCATATGTAGATAAATCAATGAAGATGCCTCGAGGTAGTTCACTTTGCATGCAAAGTGAACAATAATAATCATGCAGCTGCTCAACAGGTTACAGGCAAGTACAAATGTAATTTTTTGCAGAACATTTTCTGAATGCTCTAAAAATGGCAGGCATTCTAAAGTGGCCTTATGCATTTAGATCAGGCATTGAAAGTGTTAAAAGAAATATAGGAAGTGTCATTCAAATAGACAAGATACATGGTAGAAGAGTTCATACATTACTGACTGATGGTCAGGCATCCAAAATACTGTTTTACTCCTCTGAGTCAGTTAATCCCTTACTGCATGGTGTTCCAGATATGGCACATACCGGAATATTTTAAATATAAAATTTAGAAAGAACCACAACATGGTTAATGGGGGATTTTGGAAACATCCTTGATGTTCCTGATTTGGAAGAACATCAATACTTTTTAAATGTATATTTGTTACCAACTGGGACCATATTGAAGATACCATGTCAGTACCATAGTAAAGACTTTTTGCCTTATTTAGCTGCAAGCTTCTCAATTTTTTAACCATTCCAATTCATGTCTAAAAAACTTTAACATGCATAACTTTGCTTCATATATTCATCTCACATCTTAGTCTGAGGTTTCACAAATTATGTCTATATCAGTTTTTCTCTTCTTGCAAAATTCTTCAATTTTGACAAATACCCATAATTGAATTAAAATGACCAAACTTGGACAATTTGATGTAAAATATTTCACTTTAGTACCATTGAAAAATGTTTGGAAAATTTGACATTTTCTTAAAATTATTATCTAAGGCATCCATATATCATACATCGAGAACGACCGACATCAACATATATTTATGTTGTGGGAGAACTTTCAAGTGTTCCTGGTCCTGTAAATCTAAATGGATTCTGTGAACATTCCTGTGCATTTTGGTGTTCGAAACATGTATGTAAGATATGAATTTTCTTGCAAAATAAATATTTTTTCCCTTCAAATTGACGGTCCCCAGCAGCTGGACAAGTGTCAGGTACCCAGTCCTCAATGTGTAAACACATTCACTGCAAGGCCCCTTTTTTGTGCAAGCTGGGACAGTGGCCATATAACCCACTGGTGGTTTGTATGGCAGCTAATGTTTTAAAAAAGAACAGAAGATTAAGTCATCAAATTATTGATTGGACTGCTGGCTCCAATTGCCAAGTGTGAACTTGAGTTATCATTTGGTGACTGCTGAAATAAATAAAAATGTGCATCTGCAGTAGACTAACTCATTTTTACTTAGCATTATGAGTCCTGAACAGTCTCTTCCCTTTTGATGGAGATTCAAAACTGTAAAGTTTCAACATTGACTGAGGGAAACCATACATATTTCCATAGGGCTGATTATCAGCAGCATTTTTTCCTTCTAAAGGATCAGTTTGGCTGACCTTGAGCAGCCAGGCACACTTTTCCTTCAATATGGAGCCTAAGCTGACAAGTACAAGGGCCAAACAGGATTTGCAGGCCTGAATCTGACAACATGAGTGTATGCATGATGACAGTCTGCAAAACACCCAGCAATCATTAAAATTTGCTCTGTAGTTCATATTAGGCCAATTGTATTCCTGCTCTTTCAATGCTAATATATCCCAGCTCCATACTGTTCACGCTATCAGAGTGGATTGGTTGAGAATTTGTCACAGAAACATTAAAAATGTTGTCATGGCTATTGGAAACACCATTTGCAGTCACCCATGGCAGCAGTTGACAGGAGCCAAATGCTATCATGGCATTGCTAAGGCAGCCTTGCTCTAAAGCTGAAAATGGGAGAGGCACCTGAGACTGTTGTTGTTGTCATTGCGGATAGACTCCTTATAGTAGTTGATGGCCTTGCCATACTGATGAGTCTTGATAAGAGCCTGTCCCATCTTCCCAGCCAAGATGGCATCCCGAGGGTTCCGTTTTAGGGCTTGCTCATACACCTCAATGGCCTTGTCTGGCTCCTGAATCCCCATCAGGGCATCTCCCAGAAGAAGATAGCTTTGGGGGCTTGAATCCTTCTCCACTATCTCTCTGCATGGTGTTACGAATGAAAGCGGATTTAAAAAAGCATAATAAATATCTCCTAAATAAAAACCAATGATTTATAAGTCATGTATTGAATGAACCTCAGGAAAACTAATGCGAATTTATGCACAATGGGGTCAACTGAATATAATGTACCAATATGGATTTTTACAGTAGGCAAATCCAAATAACAAAGACCAAAATAGACTTTTGATTACAGAGCAATACATAATACTTTGTCCCCCCCCTCCCCCCTCCTCCAGTTCATTCAAACAAAAAGCTTCATATCTAGAAATAATATCTTCACAGAATCACTTTCATAATTCAACTTGTCCACCAATAGCATTTCTACAAGCTAGCAACTGTGAGGGATAAGATTGTGAAGTTGCTTGTAGAAGGTATTGTAGACCTTCATGTCTTTAAGAACAGCAGACAGGTGCTTGGCTGGAAAATCTCTGGTCTCCATACCCATGAAGCATGGAGACCAGACAATGCAAGTGAGTAGAAATGGTGTAGGTGGACTTACCAAATCAAAGGCATCTCTACAAGCCCAAACTTAAACATTCTTTCCAGAAATATAAAACTTTTCATGCTGAAATTGCAATATTGGACTTCATGGGGGGGGGAGATGGGTTAAATATTCTGTATTACCCTTAATACCATTAATACCAATTATTAATATAATTTCAGTACTTTGACCTACCTCTCACAATGAAAACTGATTTCACTGGGGGCAATAAAATTTGAGAATGACAGACAGATAATAAAAAATTAAAAACAAAAATACATAAATGCTGAAGGTGAGCTATGAAGTGCTGAGTTCAACAATATTGGCTACATATACAGGGTATGGCCCCAAAAAATAATAAATTACTTTAAACTTGGATGTATCACTGAAACTACTTTCATGAAATTTGCACTAAGCATACTTGACATGTTCTCAACAGCCTTCTGAAACTTCATTCAATTGATATTGCCAAAGCAAGGCCATGAGCAATCATTCAAAATAAATTATAAATATAAAATGGACAGTGACTTCAATCCCTTCTGTCTTGTTCTTTGATGATTACCAAGGGAAAATCTGAATAAATTATGAGCAAGTTTTGATACTTACAGACTCAACTGCCATTAATTGGAATAATGGTTATGAAAACTATCTGCAAAATAAAGCCAATCCAAAAAAAAGCATTTCAAGGGCTGAGAAGTTTCTTGCAGCCTGAATGATAAGCAAACAGAGAGCTGAGGTGTGTCCTCCACCAGCAAGAACTCTTGTCTATTTTCCTTATCTAGTTTCTATTTAGTCATCCATACTTGAAGCAATGAATTTGAAAAAAGTTTTGAGGATATGTTAGAAACATGTCCATCTATGCACAATGAAATTTTAGGGCAAATAGCTCCAGTGGAAGCAAAGATATGAGGGGTGATCAAAAAGTTTGAGGAGTGAATTTTTTTAATGCTGTTGTGACTCTTTCTGACTACTGATGGGTATATCCTTCAAAGTAGTCCTCCTTGGCATCTACACAAATTTCCAATGTTTCTTCAGCCACTAGAATCATTGCTTACACTTATAGTTTGGAATCACCAGCAGCGCTCATGGTGCATTTGTAACGCTGCTTTGAATGTCCTGAAATTTCATTCCTTTTTCAGTTTCAGCAGTTTCTGATCTACGTCTGACCTAACTACCATTCCCCCTGCTTCATAAGCCATTCGACTCACCAGACGTAGCTCCTAGTAAGTTCTTCTTGTTCCCTAAGCTAAAGAATTTGCTGAAACGAAGGAGATTTCAGGCATTCAAAGTAAAGTGTAACTACAACACGAGCAACTGCTGGTGATTTCAAATGATAAGTGTCAGCAATGTTTCCAACAGCTGAAGAAGCAACTGGAAATTTGTGGAGATGCCTAATAGGACTAGTTTGAAGGATATAACCATTAGTAGCTGGAAAAAGTCACCATAGCATCATAAAAAACTCAGTCCCAAAACTTTTTGATCACTCCTTGCATTTTGTTAAAAGTTGTCTGCCTCTTTTTTTTGCCATACTTTGTAAATCAAAGAATGCATTCAAGATATAGTAAGGAGGCACAATATTGTTTTCCCATACCTGTAGCAGGCAGCATACATACGTCGATCTTTGCGATATTGAAGGTAGATAGAGGCCATCTTCTCCCTTGACTGAATGTAATATGGCTGGTCAGGTCCAATGCGCTTGAGGACAGCAATAGCCCCCTCTACATCCCCCCTAGCAAGGGCCAAGTCTGCATTTGAGACTGACACCCTCACTTCCTCACCAGTTCCCTGATCCATTGAGAAATGATCATTGAATCAGCCACAAGAAAAACAGCCACTGAGAATTCTCAGCAGATTATTCCAAATATTATCAATGAGGAAATGCAGTCACAATATACTGCACTCCAGTGGCATGCCCAGGAAATCCAAATGGGGGGGGGGGGTCGCTATATGACACATTGATTACCCACCCTAATGGGGTTAACATATGAAAAAATTGATAGCCCACCCTGTATTTGTGGCCAAATAAAAAAATTTGTGATAATCGAACCTGTAAAATTGACACCAAGGGGGGGGTTTTGGGGGTCATAACCCCCCCACCCCGTGGGGTCACACTCCAGTGGCATGCCCAGGAAATCCAAATGGGGGGGGGGGGGGGGGTCGCTATATGAAACATTGATTACCCACCCTAATGGAGTTAACATATGAAAAAATTGATAGCCCATCCTGTATTTGTGGCCAAATAAAAAAATTTTTGATAATCGAACCTGTAAAATTGACACCAAGAGGGGGGTTTTGGGGGTCATAACCCCCCCCCCCCTTGGTGTCAATTTTGGACATGCCACTGCTGCACTCATATGTTCTAGTCGCACATATCAGGTAAATTGAATCAAAAGGGATTAAAGTAGGGAGAGAGATGCTGACCCGAAATTCATTTCGAGCTTCTTCCATGACCTTAGCAGCTTCTTGGTTCTGGTTGTTCATACGAAGTGCATCAGCCAACTCCAAGTATATGGCTGCCCTCTCAGAATCAGGCAATCGATTTGGACTGCTCTCATTCTTTTCACCTTGAAGAAACAAATCTTGTAAGGCTTCATATTTCTTTCAAACTCCCAAGATATAGCACAAAATTTTCCTTACTGGGCTTGACCTTGAAGCCAGGCAGAGCCATGGCCTGCCTCAGAGTCACAATAGCTTCCTCCATCTGACCCTGCTTCTTCTGGATTCTGGCCTTGATCAAGTGGTATATTGGGTGCTCCCGAATCTGCATAGTTCATTCATGAAAGTAGAACCATTAGAGAAATATCCTTCCTTCAAGGGAGAAGCTCATCATGGTGAACTGTAGCTACTCATTTAACAACACCTCCATAGTAGCTAGACTCCTTCCAAAAGGTTTATTTGACATGCTTCGCTTGCTTATTTTTCTTTAATGCATTTCCTAATTCTTTTATTGGAACAGCAATAAAGTAACAGGAAATTCAGTCATGGTGCTGCACATCTGGTGTGACACTCAGTATAATGATGCACTTCTGTCTGATTTGATATCTTGCAGTATTGCTTGAGAGGAAAAAGATTGGAAGTAGAGTTAGTCCTGGGCATGAGATACCCCTCAAGCTTTTAAGCACCATCCCACAATTTTTCAGATCATTGTTCTTTATGGCAGAAATGAATCATAATTGCAGTCAAATACCTGATGACATGGAAACAACAAGTGACCTGGTTGGTAAATATATATTTGTAAAAAATTAATACTTATAACGAATGGGAGAAGGTAAAGGAGGGAGACATACCCAGGCTTCAGCTCTTTCCTAGGCCTTCGGGCACTAAGGCTCAATTCATCTCCCTTTTAGCTGCAAATGGACTTTTAGCCCCCATACCTAAGACTGTTAGTAGCTAAAAAAAAAATTAAATAATTGAACCTAAAACCTAATTGTCAATAATTTACTTCCATCATGATAGATCTCAGGTATGAACAAGAGCCTAACTTATGTGGAAACCCTGTAAATGGTTTTTCGCAATTTAACATGGGTAACTTATTTAAAGGTCTATATTACACAATATTCTCTAGGAAACCAATGCTCTGAAGCTGCAAAACTTTCAAAATTTGTGAGTGGCAAATTAGCAAAATAAAGAGCCCTTGCAAGCCTGAATTACAATTTTTCCAAGAGCACTGTTTCTCCTAACAAGGATGTAAAAAATGAAAAGTTATTGATATCAACTAGTCTTGAGTTTTTGTTTAACTTAATATCATACACAAATACAAGCCAGTGAAATCATAGAACTGACCTCAAAGTTGTAGCTGAGGCCAACCTCTAGGGATTGGGAGGCCTGCTTGAAGAATCCCTGCTGGAGCTGGATCTGGGCCATGAGGACATGAGCATCACTGAATGTTGGGTCTAAAATGGCATCCAGAGATCACATGATTCCTTAGAATGAAAAGATTTATAACAGTATTTCTGCAGAATTCACAAACCAATGTCCTCCAAAATCTCCTGGAGAAGGGAGGATGCCTCAGAGATTTCTCCACGAAGGAATCGGACACGTGCAAGAAGGAAGAGACCATCTCGCATTCCAGGACAGACTTTGGTCACCGGTTCCAAGACCTGACGACTCCTTTCAAGTGCTGGAGGAATTGCCTGGCTTTTTGCCACTGGCTGGAGAACAAAAAATAATGCTTGAAAGAAATGTAAAATATTGTGTTTGAAGTCTTAAAGCTAAAACTCACATGGGTGGGGGCATAGAGCAGGAGCTCCCGCACAACAAGAAGCAAGAAATCTGGATTCAGTTGAATCAGGTACTCCACTCCAAATGGGACAGAACGAATGGCACGAAAGTGTGTCTCGATTGCATCAGTCAAAATCCCTGGAAATGTTTCCAAAGTCATACACAATTCCACATTCACGGCATTTCCCACTAAAAGATTAAGTAAGGTTCAGATGATAGTGTGAGACATTTTCATCACTTTATTACTTATGACACCCTGCCAAAAAGGAAGAGAAAAAAAAAAGAGAGAAAATGTAATGATAGGTCAAGCAACATCATATTTCCAGAGGTACCAGTATTTTATGCAAATGGCACTCTAGATATGTTTAATACATATTGATTACTTTTACCTTCCCTGCAGTCATTCCAGGATTGAGCAATTCTCTACCTATGAGTAAACCCTTGTTTCTTTTCTTTTTATTGCATGGAGTCAAGCAACCAACCAATAATTTCTTCAGAACTCTTGCTCCCCTTCAGTCGACCTAGAAGGGCGCTGAGGTAGTATATTTCTGGGCTGGTGCCAACTGACCGGGAGACCTCCAACTGGAACTCCAGATGCTGCTCAGCTGATTGAAGATGCCCCTCCAGCAACTGACAGTGCAAAGTACCTGGGCAAAGAAAAGATGAAAGAAGTCAGCAACTGTAAAGTGCATAATGTGTTGAGGTCAAACTGACCAGTCAAGGCAGATATAGAAGATTCATCCATCTTGGTGGCATTCCTGAAGAACTTGAGAGCCTGAGAGACATTCTCTTGCAAGAGGCATTGATAGCCAAGTTCTGTGAGACGATCAGCATTCGATGGGTCCAGCTGGGCTGCTCGCTCAGCCAGCCTGTATGCTTCATGCAGGATCCCTTGATGTCTTCCACACTATAACCATGCAGAATATAATCAATTTAAATGACTTGTATATTTCCATGAGCTTCACTAATTCAACTTTATGGACAGGATAGGTCAGCAAATCCACAAAATCCCATTTGGTGAAATATAACAACAAAATAACTTTCAGTCTTCAATTTCCTCCTGAATTCAGGCAATTGGGGGAGGGGGGGGGGGGAGATAGAGCATTAGTTCTAAATAAACACATTGATAGGGCCTACCAGAATTTTAAATGCTTGGAAAAGATACTTGGGGCATACACTTCTCTTTGAATGTCCCATTTATTGACACCAACATGTGCAGACTTACAGGAAGGGCTTCGACACAGTTCTCAAAGTGGAAGCTTATGCAAGAGCCTTCTCACTATAGAATGATTACATCTTTATCTGTTGCATACCCTAGCATAGTCAGTCCCAAGCTTCACATGTCCAAAAATTTGCTGGACTATTCTATAAAGTTCAAAATTCTTCCCATCCTACATACAAACATCATTTAAAAGTAACAAAAATCAACCTATGATAGGCATCACATAACGACCAGTCTCATCACAATAGACACGGTCCTGCCCTCTGCTTGATTCCAGGCTGACATAACTGAGGTAATAGAGGATGGGGCAGGGTTACAATTGCAGTTTTGCTTTCCACTTAGCTTCATTGCTCATGGTTTGCATGTTCAGTTGGCTCCTTTCACATTGACTGTTGAATACATGCTTGCCTGGATAGATTTGGATTCCTGGTCCATGAGACCAGAAAATTATGAAGTAGCTGACTTTCCTCTTTCAGTCACAAGTGTGCTATTAGGCACCTTTGAGAACCAGTCAGCTATAATGTGAAGTCATCACATTTAAGCACAGGGTTGTCTTCCCACTTCTGTGGAGAACTGCTGTAATGCTCAGGTATCTCCTGGGTCTTCCTATTCTTTGCATCCTATTGGCATCTCCTTAACATCTGAATTGCATCTGGGATTTGTTCCAAACCCCCCTGTATTCTCCCATTGTGGCATGAGCATCTAACATATAAGGCTATAATCATCACATCCTAACTTCTGAACCTACCTCAAGACAATACAGAAACTGCAATGGGGAGCCAAATTGAGGCCTAATGGAGTGGTGGACTTCATGCAATTGAATCAAGACACTCCCTGCAAAAACTGATTGGAGCCTGAAGTGGTTGGAGCTGAGAACATCCTAGAGAAGGTCCATGGGATCTTGGTCTTTGCATGAGCCAAGTGCTCTCTTTTTTATTTATTTAAAACCATTGATTCCTGCAATCCTGGTGCATAGCCTATTCATAATGATTTCTTCATTGTAAAATATTGAGCAACTCTAAACCAAGCTTTCTATGTGGAAAGCCAGGCACTCTATCACCAAATTGGTGAGTTGTAGGAATTAAATGGAGGTCACATTCTATCTTGTTGACAGCCATGCACTTTAAGATGTTTCTGCCATCCTGAGCAACCTGATTTATTCCTGCTATCCCAAGCACCTCAATCCAGTTCTGCCAACCTGGGTAAAATTGACTGATTGTGAGCCTCCAACTTCATTATATCTGTTTCCATTCCTGAGGTCTTTGGTTACACTGGAATCTGTGATCCTAGTTGAGAATAGATGAACCTTATTTTCTGTTGAAGATTTAAGTCGTCTCTTATTTGCAACACCAAAAATGAACCAATGCAGGTGATTCTAGCCTGTCACAAAAACCCCAATTGTACATAGGCAAGTAGGCTGCATGGACATACTTATCCATCATGAGAAAGCCACTTGTCCATGTCATCTGGCCACCTGACTTTTTACAACTCACAAGTCTGGAGAAAAGCTGAGCATTGCGCATGAAGAGGTCCCCATTCCTGGGCTCATGTTGTTCAAGATCACTGAAGAACTCCTTAAGGAGAAGTGTTGATTCATGATAATTCCCCTGATGGCACATGGTATTCAGGATCTTGAATCGCTTTCCTTCCAAGGACCCTGGGTCTAGTATCAGTGCCCTGAAGTAATAATAGCATTCACACTTGTTTACATGAGTCAAAATACTCTTTCAATTAGTAAAAAGAAATCAAAATGAAATGTGACACCCTAAAGGATCCATGAAATCCCCATTTTTTAACTGTCTTATTGAGACAAGAGGTGGTAGTAGCATTGCACATATGCAACAGCCCCCTAAAACCCAAGGTAAGATCCACTGCCTTGTCTCTACATTCTATTGCCTAAAAGGCTTTCCTGATAAGAGTTCAAATAAGAGCAACCAAGCAGAACATACCACTTTTCATTTTATCCCTTCCCTTACAGCCAAAACAGAGACTCCATATAATTATTTATAAGGGTAAATCTACAAATGAAAATATCTCATGTGCACCTACCTTTCTGCACTGTCAGATGCTTGTACCCAGTCTTTCAAGGCAAGCTGGATTTTCATCTTCTCCAAAAGGGCAGGCACAAATGAAGGGTATGACACCACCAACTGATTCAGGCATTCCAATGCTTGGTCAAAGCTGTGAACCAGTTCATAGAACTTGGCCTTCCCAAGCATTGCATCAATGTCCCGATTTGCACTAAGAAGAAAATGAAGAATGATGCATGCCTCCATTTTTCACAAAAAACTTGCTATCAAAGTTATTATATGATAAGACACTACTTAGGAATGGATTCGAAGAAGTTGATAGCATTCTTCACATCCTTAGATTCCTTGCCAGCACCAAGTTCAATCCATCCTTTCAGCACAAGACCATCACGAGATTGGCTATTAATCTTGAGCAGACGATCCACATATTCCCTTGCCTTGTCATATCTCCCATTCAAAAAGAGGAAAACTCCAGCAAAGTGCAGAGCCTGGAGTTGGTGAAAAGAACCTTTGATATTAAAGGAGAAAATTGCTACAAAAAGCTAGTTCAACACCAGTCACATAAGAATAGGCAGCAACAGATACATCTGTAGCAGGACTATATAGAGGAGACTGTATAAGTTTAGCATTAAAGGAATAGATAGTTTATAAGGGGCAAATGCATAGTTACACTTATATCTTCAGTGCCCAATCAAGTGATACAAGAATAAAAGAATGTATAGGGTTGTACAATCAGTCCCTTGCTAAAGAAGACCAAATAAATTTGAGAGCTTGACCTTGTCACCAGCCTTCTTTCTTTCCTCCTTCAATTTTGCATCCAGCTGCATGACGGCCTCCTTGTCAACTGTAGCACAACGTTTATGTGCATGAATCAAGGCCAGCATTGCCCCAAGCATCACTTCTGAATCACTCTGTTGATTTGAAAAACAAAACAGTGCTACCATAACAACACTACAAAGATCTCACAAGCTCACCAGTAACATAACCATGAATTCCATAAATGATGTCATAAACCTATTAGGGACAAGTTATACCTGGAGTCTATCAAGTTCCCGGATCCCCTCCTGAACACGTCCCTCACATACAAGTGACAGTCCAAAGTAGAATCGAAACACAGTGTCCCCAGCAAACCGTTTCATTCCTTCTAGAGCAGCATTCTGCATCGCCCGGTGATAGCCTTCTCGGCAGTAGTATGTTATCTTTGCCTAAGGTGAAGGAAACAAATATTACCAATAGTCTCATTAATGATAAAGCATGTGAAGGAATATTAGGAGAAAACTGACACAACATTAGATTCTACCTCCTAGGAATAGACCCAGCATCTGATACAGGTTCTCTCACCTTTAACGTGATTTCCAATGGGTCCCCCATAGTGATGAAATGATTTCTGAAGCTCAAGCTATTATGGGTTAAGGCTCAGGTCCATATACAAATTGCTGGATAGTCTGAAATTTTCCACCAACTACAAAGGCTAGGACCAGCATAGCCCAGGCCTAACAGACAATGATATACTTGTAAGCAAACATTTGCTTCATTGATAGCACTCTATGCCATATGCATCAAAATCCTGATGCATTAGGCCACATCACAACATTGATAGCATCTATAAAAAAATTCAAATAAACATACTGAATAGGTAACATCTCAACATAGGAGATATTTTAAGGAGGCATAGAAAATGCATTTATGAAACGCACAAATAAAGAAATCTCTAAGTAAAAAGAAGAGAAAGTACAATCAAACTTGTCTCTGGACCTCAGGATATCTGGGCCTTGTTTGAACAGGATCACAGAATGTCATCAAAATAAAACTCAGACAAGTCAGACTCATCAATACTCTTTAGAACTTTAAATATTATGTTTGATTCCCTTGCTGCAATGATTTTGACTGGAAACTTTGATTACATTAAATCTTCAGTTAAATATATAAGGGCATTTTAAATTGTCAACAAGGATAAATTGAAATACAGGTAAATAATTTTTTTTTAAAAACCAAGAGGTTAATTTCGATGGACTTGTTCATTTACATAATCCTACTCTTTCCCAAAAGTAATGAAATTTTGGAGCTGGAAGGAGATGATCTTACAGTGTCCTACTAAATAGGCATAGGTTTCTAGCAGCATCATAGCTTAGCCTTCGTGACAGCATAACAAAAACCAAGTGCATCAAATTTCATTATACCCATGGAATGAAGTATATGGAAAAATTAGAAGCGGGATTTATTTTTTTGATTTTCATATTATCTTAATGGTTAGTACAACATAGAAAACACGCCAGGTGGGCCTAGTAGGGATTTTTACACAAAGAGCAAACTGAAGAATTTTGAGTCTACCAAGTAAGTTAAAATTCAAATAAAATAGTATTAGTTCGGAATTGATCGCGGGGGAGAGGGAACCGCCATGTCTTGTCAGCCGCATCAGTTACACAGTAGGCGTATGCCCTTCCACACCCTCGTGCTGTCTCTACAGTGTGTTGTCCCTAGCACCCAGTTCCGAGTGATTTTCCAACACTAGCATGACACCTCCAGAAGGACCATACTAGAGAAACATTTGTGACTTGGGTTTTGTTTCATAACGTCGAAGTCGAACGATAAAAACGCAGGAGTGATTAAGCAGGCATTTCGACCATGAGAACAGTGATGGGAGAGCTCATGTGTCGGCTCAGGCGAGCTGGGACGTCTTGGACAGGGATGCCGGATCGACAATGGTCCCGCCGCCTCCAAACTGCTCCCTTTCGTGACGGGGGATCTCAGCCCTGGAGAACAAACTATTTTGCTGTTTTGATTTCTGCCGTCACGGCCACGATCGGATACGGAATTTACGTCGGACATCGGAAAAAGGTGGAAGCGGCCACTGTCCCACGTAAACCAGAAACTTTGCAGCTGCAGGAGAACTCGCGATGGAACTGGCGAAATCTGAAACCGATCACCATCGAAGAGGCGAAGAAACGAGCCCGAGATTTGTGCTTACGGATAAAGGATGAGTCGGGGAGTCCTGGCCTTTCCGTTGCCGTCACTGTGGACGGAGAACTCGTCTACGAAGACGGTATAACCATCATTTATCCTTTTCGATGATACCTCCATGATGAAATTTAAAATGCCAATGCAGGTATGGGCTACGCGGACGTGGAAAATCGAGTCCCTTGCGCGCCTCACACGGTAATGAGGATCGCCAGCATCAGCAAGCCGTTGACAGTGTCGGCAGCAGCCAGACTTTTGGAGGAAGGGAAATTGGACCTGGATAAGCCCGTCCAGGAGTACGTCAAATATTTCCCCGTTAAATACTTCGAGGGCAAGGAGGTAAGTCGGCGAGAAAGAAAATACCTAATAGTTGGAATTCAAATTTTGAAGTTGAGTCGCTTTCCAGGTGAAGATCACGACCAGACATCTAGTGTCGCACCTAAGCGGGATTCGCCACTACTCCAAGACGAGACCAGATGATAAAAAGGAGGAAGAAAAGGAGTCGGATTCGGAAGAAGGTTGGAAGAAGAAACGGAAGGGCGAATTTGATCTGAAAGAGTACTACATCAAGGACCCGTTCCCGTCAGTGCAAAAGGCCGTGGAAATGTTCTGCAACGACGACCTTCTCTATGAACCCGGTATAAAATCATGAAGAAATGTTCAGAATTCTGTTTGCAATTTTTATTTTTAAAAAAAGCATTCATTAAGTGGTGGTATTGGATTTTACTTCCGCAGGGAAGAAGTACCTTTATTCCACGCACGCATTCACGCTGCTAAGCGCCGTCGTGGAGGAAGTGAGCGGGGAACCATTCACGAAGGTCATGAATAATCTCTTCCACGAACTGGGTCTTCAATACACGAGCCTGGATGAGAATTCACCTATTATGTATCATCGGGCCAGGTACGACCAAAGACGTCAACGTAAATGCATCCTAACGCTTCGTTCGTTTATTAGACACATCAAGGGAAGAACATTTGGAACTAATTACATGCATTCATTCGATTAACTGCAGGAAATAGAAATCAACGAATTTTCTAATTTTATGGGGGAAAAGACAATCTTGAAATTGCCAACGAGTGTGCTAAGATAGGTAATCAGTAGTGAATATTGAAAAAAGCATTTCCACTCGATATTATCGTCTTCATGAATCCTCGGTTCACCCTCGCATCTAGATACTACAAGAAGGACGACAAGGGACGGTTGATTAACGCGCCCTACGTGGACAACTCGTACAAGTGGGCGGGGGGAGGATTCCAGTCCACGGTGGGAGACCTGGTGAAATACGGGAATGCCCTCCTGTACAGCCACAGCAGCGGGGGGAACCTCCCTCGGGGGCTCCATCTCCCCTCCACCATGCGGATGCTCTGGTCTCCCGTCCCCCAAACGGAGTCGTGGGACCGGGATGCTAAGTATGGAATGGGCTGGTCCGTCACTCCTCGCCAGATCAACTACCCCTTTTGCAACGCAAAGAGGTTCTACGTCTCTCATACGGGTGGAGCCGTGGGGGCGTCCAGCGCCCTGCTCATTATCCCCGACGAGGGCGAAGACGATTCGCCGGTGGGGACGGTCGTGACGAAGCCTCCACCTTTGGGGACCGTCGTCGCGATTCTGGTCAACATGCAGGAGGTAGGACTCAAAGGCACGGCTATGGAGATCGCCCTACTCTTCCAGAGGACCCGCTCGTCTTGACCCTTCACATGCATTGCTTAAAAACGAAGTCTCGGCAATGAACGGCTAAGCCCTATTTTTTAAATCTCATGAATCTATATCTCGATGGAAGAATATACCACGATGCCATTATAGATGCCACGGCGCGTTTTGCGCACTTTTCTTCCCCCGAATTTTGCCGAATGAATTATTCTTGCCAGACTCTAATGTCCGACAGGCAGACCGACCCTACGCCTAGAAAGGTAAAACCAGCCCTAAAGTTTGGGGGGGGGGGGTTTGAAGTTCTCATGACCTGGCTTTCAAATGTCTCCAAATGCAAGAAGGCGTTTTCAAATCATCAGGAGAGATATACTTGGCCCAAAAGCGAAACGGTGCGAACACGCGAACAAAGAAAATGAAACGAAGAAAAATGATTGAAATGGTGGAAATGGAATTTTAAAGGGTGGATTTTTGAACAGAGTACATCCGATAATGCAGCTTTATTTACCGGATTTATAATGCTTTTTCTCTGAAATAAAGCTATATTATCGGATAGTGCTCTGTTCAAAAATCCACCCTAAATGATAAAAGCACATTCGATATCTGAAAAAAGCTTAAAATGAACTAAACTATTTTCGGGATTCAGATCAAATATCACAGCGCAGATATGCAACTGGAAATTCGTTTGTCTGTACGCGATTCACGCCTTTTATTTGAACCCTGCACCTTTCATATCAACCCGGAGTCCAGAGTAATTCAAGGGAGTCAACCTTCCTGAAGTCATTTCGGCAACGGACAGTCGGGAACGCTTCTGCCGACTTAAGAGGTCTCTCTCACGAACCTCTTCGATCTACGCAACCTTTCTGATTACTGTCCGGCTATCCGCGCACCTTGGATCGGGGATCCGATCATGTTGTAGTTTCACCAGGATACAAGGTCTATATGATTGACCTCGACCTACTTCCTTTTTCTCTAGTTCTGACGCGATCTTTTGTTGCCTACGTTATACTTCATTTGCCTAGATATCTCAAAATATCCAAAAATATTTAATAGGCTAACGTTACGTGTTTTCAAATGTTTCTCTTGGGTTCAGGCTACAACTTGGCATATATGATTTTATGAGTGGAATCAATTATTTTTTTGGATACAGGCCCAGTCCTACGACTTGGCCAAAGTAAGGTGTAACCATAGGCCTATTGCTATATTATATTATGAATCAAGAACCAGAATCTCCAAGTCCCTCCACATTCACACATTTTTGGGGCCACACGGGGCCGGGTCTGGACTATAGGATGGATGTGGGTGCACCCTGATGCCAGACTCATGCAGGAAATCCGATGTGAGAGCGGCTGTGTGGCTGGACGCGTTGCCATGATGGAGCATTCACGATTTCAAGGGTGATTTGGGCCTCCGATTCTTCAAAGATTCCAACATCTTTGGGAGGCAGGATTCTGCATACCACTTCGAGGTCACAATTTTTTTTACTTTGGAGAGCTCTGTGACCATTGAAAGAGATGAAAAAGCCACCATTTGCCTTTCAACTTCTGGACCGCTTGACCTTGGTTGGGATCGGTTCACCAAAGAAGAGCCAGACATTGAATTGGCGCTCTTTCTCTGGGTAAAATCGATATATCCAGGATTCATATCCTGGGAAGATGTCATAGATGACTTTTGAAGACCCAGAGTTGAACTTCTGGGGCATGAATTCACACCGTTCCACCCTGGCCTCCTTTTGACTTGGAGCGAGATCATGAGGGACCCATCGGCTGGTGACCCTCCTCAGATCAAGATGTCTGTGCAGGATATCATTCACTGCTGCTGACCCAACCTTAAGTTGTGCCTGAATGTCCTCATATGTAATTCGATCCTCTTCCTCTTCAAACATCTTCCATGCAATGGCCACATTTTCATCTGTCACTGCAGTTGGCGGCCGGCCACAGCAAGGCTCATCATTCAAGAACACCCTTCCTCTCTGAAACTCTGCGAACCACTCAAAAATTGTACTACGAGATGGTGCTTCCTCTCCAAAGGCCCGTTGCAGGCGTTCAAGACTCTCCAATGGGCCGAGTCCACTTTTGAAGTCACAGAAAATCATCGCTAGGAAATGTTCACATGTCGAACTCACCACTTGAATTTTTCAAAATCCTTGAACACGAGAAGCATAAAAAAGTATAAAAACGGTACAAGGCAACGATAAATTCTGAAAGTTTTTGCATAGGCTTGTACTGATGGTCCTAACTTGGAGAAAAATTCTCAGCCTGAGAGGAGGCATCACAGGGGCCGCATCCTGAAACTTTCAGAGTGACCCTCGTACTCAATTGATCCGCTATTAACCGAATTGAAATCCCCAGGAATGGAGACTACCTATTCGTTTCTCGCATATGACAAGACCCCAACACCCTTTCTTGCGAGTCTGTTCTTACCAGTGTCGAATCCCTGAGTTTCGATTTCCATATCCATAAGTCAGAGCTCCCCCAAGTCTCTGACACGTCCATATCATCTGCCTAAGCTTGGCAATGATAAGCTCAAGGGTCAGACTTGGGTTGTTTAGCCTCGACTTGCGGGATTATACATGGCATAGAGAAAAAATGATCCCCCGACCTGATATATCTCTGTATTTTATAGCGCCATTCTTAAGAAACTTGCATTTGCATCGGCTGCAACTTTCTCAACAATCTTTTTTAGAATTTAAGATAAATTAATTAGACTACAGCAGGACTATGAACGATTATTAAAAACAAATTGGAAACTGAATATCGACGGGAGACTAGCTAGTCCCTGCAGTGGCAAAACTACGAATTCACAGGCACAGCAATTGGGGTCTTCCTCCCTCGACTTCCAGCCAGAGCCTCCGTCCAGAGTCGGACTGGCCTGCAGGAATAAGGAAAATTTCTCGGGTGTCCCTAGGCCGCCAGGCCGATCGTCCTTTTCAATCTCCAACTCATTTTAATAATAGTTCGTAGACTTGATCTAGCATGGTGAATTTAATTGAAAGTATACAAGTCTCATGAAAGAAAGAAATCAGGGTGCCGAGAGATGTTACAAATGTATCCAGAAGATGGACAGGATACCAGGATCAAAGGCAGAGAATGGCTGGGACTCGAACCTGTGACACAAGCGCCTAGCGGATTGCGAGTCCAACACTGAAACCACTAGACTACCTCCCCTGCCCAAAAAAGCAGGTTCGGAAAGTCTGTATTTCAATGTGAGCTCGCAATCGCAGGGGAGGTAGTCTAGTGGTTTCAGTGTTGGAATCCAACACTGAAACCACTAGACTACCTCCCCTGCGATTGCGAGCTCACATTGAAATACAGACTTTCCGAACCTGCTTTTTTGGGCAGGGGAGGTAGTCTAGTGGTTTCAGTGTTGGACTCGCAATCCGCTAGGCGCTTGTATCACAGGTTCGAGTCCCTGCCATTCTCTGCCTTTGATCCTGGTATCCTGTCCATCTTCTGGACACATTTGTAACATCTCTCGGCACCCTGATTTCTGAATTTACGCCGTGGGTCGTATACCCATGCCCCTTCCCTTGCAAGTCTCATGAAATATATCCGTCAATGTTTCGTGAAAATAACAGCATTAAGAGCGGAGTATTTCCTTGCATTTGCGTTTCTTGTTTGAAATTCGTACATACCCCATCCATATATTTGTGTATATACACAGTCAGACACTGCGGAAGTCTCGGAGAGCTGCAGCAGCGTTATTACCTGCCTGGTAGAAAAGTTTCCCGAGAAGCGCTTTCTCTTTTGGATTCGTCATGACCAATGCCGATCAACGTGCCGATCAACATTCAACATATAGCGCACACTAGTGGATACATCGCCGCGTAGTGGCAAATGTTTGTACTGCTGTCATTCTAATCCCCATGACTTCATACGTAAACCCTGTAAATTTCATGCAAATCGGATGCACTGATATGGAGTTATTTATCTCGAAGATGATTGCAGGACTTAATAACCACCCTGGCCACCTATGTTGGTGATTTTAATAGTCATCACACAGCATGGGGCTACCAGGCCAACGACCCAGAAGGCGAGAAGATTGCAGACCAGGCATCTGCGCAAGAGCTGTTCCTCGTCTACGATGGAAAGCAGGGAGGCACTTTCCACTCTGCTCGGTGGAAAAGAGATTACACCCTCGACCTGTGCTTCGTCTCGATCGATGCAAGCGGGAGGCCCCTCCCAGCGACCCGAACGATCTTGGGCTCCTTCCCGCATAGCCAACACAGACCAACGGTCATCGAAATCGGCCACACATTCCCCGTGATAACCAACGCACCGACATCACGCTGGAATTTCCGAAAGGCGGACCGGTCCGCCTTCACAACCGCCATGGAAAAAAACATCCACCACATCTCCACGAACCCCGACAAATTCGAGCAATTCGTTATGCTCGTGACGAATGCCGCGAAGAAAACCATCCCGCGCGGCTTCCGGAAGTCCTACACCCCTGGGTAGACAGCTGAAACAGAGGGGCTCTACAGGGAATACCAGATGAGCGGCAACCCTGATTTGGCCACAAAGCTGCTGGACTCCATGGATCAATCCAGGCAAACAAGATGGGCCGAGCTGATGGAGTCCTTTGACTTCACGCACTCGTGCCGCAAAGCCTGGAGCCTCCTGCGGAGACTCGGAGAGGCCCCCATGGCCGAATATCAGCCGCCCAAGCGTGCGATGAGCGCAGACAGCATCGCCACCCAGCTGGTCTGCAATGCCAAAAATAACAATAGGGAGCAAACAATCGCACCGCTACGTCCGGGACGCGGCCAAAAAAGCACTTCTGGAGTGCGACAAGGACTCCTCCCCAGTAGCACCAGATATTGGCTCAATGCTGGACCGACATTGGGTACGTTGGCTACGTCTTGGGCAATATTGCCAATATTGCCTGAATGTTGGGGAAACAATGAAATTCCGACATTGCTATATGATTATTCATCCAATATTGGACCGACGCGATGATCCAAT